TTTCATGTTTTTTCACATTTATCCTATTGTTTTGCATAAAATTTGGTGCGATATAAATTTTGTATGTTGTATAACTATTTCACAAACACAATTGATTATTTTCTTCAATTAGTAAATGTGCCCCAAATTTTTATATGTAAATCCCCTGCTTCGTACACATTTCACCAATTAATACAAATAAAAACAATGACCAATTGCAAGAATTAGCCTTACATCTTTATGCAATATCTCCATTTCAAGCAGTTGTGAACATAACTTCTCTACATTAAAGTGGATTTATGGAGATTATCAAACCAAATTAATTAAGTATTTACAAAGTTGAAGCAATGTGTAAAATTTGTTCATATTATATTTCTAACTTGGATAAAGAATTAAAATATTATGGTAAAGGGTTGAATATTAATGAAATAAGGAATAATATATTTGATTCATCAATTACTAATAATTTTTTTGATGAAAGTGATTTTAATAATATTAATGATATATATAGAAAATGATGAAAATCAAAATATTAATATTAATAGTAATTTAGAATTAGGTAATTTAATAAATTTAAGCTTACCAGAATTCAATTCAAATTTTAGATTAGATATTATTAATGAACAATCAGAAAGTTTAAGAAATATAAATGTAGGAAATATGTTTTATGATCCAAGTGCTCTAGTAGAAAATATTATGAACCAAGATGATTTGGAAAATATTTAAATAAATTGTTTAAAATTTAACATGATTTTATTTGAATACTGTATATATATAGTAATAAAGATATAAATTTTTAAAAATTATAATAATAAAGTTTCGCTAGTTACCAATTTCCCCAATTTCACCAGTTGTGCCAATTTCACCAGTTGCGCCAGTTGCAACAGTTACGGCAATTTCGACAAACATCCTTTGAGTTGCACCATTGGTGGAATAGTTTCACCAGTTACACCAGCCGTAACCACCAGCAACCTTAGTTTAACCTTAGGATCGACGTTTCAAATGGCAAGGTTAACCATGTTGTAGATCCTTGGATTGGCTGGCAAGTCACCTAGTCCCACAACTTTCTGTGCCACACCACAAATTTTGAGAAAAAAATTCAATAAAAATTGTTTCCTGGTCATTTCATAAATAGTAAAATCGGCAATAATAACATATTAATATATATACATTTAAAAATGACATTAACAATAGAAATGAAATGTATTTCCATGAAATATATTTTTGGTGCTAGGTAGGAAATAGCAAGCATATGTTTTGCGCATTTCTTTGATCAATGCAATAATCTATTTATTAAAATTTTAAATAAATGAATTTAATTGTTTGTTGTATTTTTTTTTATATAAAGAATAAATCCTCTTTCTATTCATCTGGAAAATGAGATGAAATCGTAACTTTGTAGAGGAAGGTCTTGGCTTCAAAAACGCGATTTATTTTGGATATTGCATTTCTATTTTGGAGGATTTGAAGGATCTACGCGACCAATAAAAAGTTGCGGGACTAAATGACTTGCACTATATACATATGTAAACTCGATAAGTCGGTCACTCGATAAGTCGGTTTACTCGATAATTCAGCCATATGAGCTCACCCCCACATGACCGACTTATCGAGTTTACATATGTAACCCTTGTTTCAACGGATTATAATTAAATTCACGTTTTTTAAAAATCTTTCGTTACACTTCCTTTAATACAGGTCATAATAAAAAAAAATAAAAATCTTCGTCACACACTATTATTATGAAAACATATAAAAATCCGTTGTCAACGGATTTTAAATGAAATTTTCTTATATGTCCAGCCACTCCGTTGAAATGAGGGTTATACTGTATAAAACGGATTTGATCAATTTAGTGTGTAACAAAATCAAAAATTTCTTATGTAAACTCGATAAGTCGGTCATGTCGGGGCAGACCCCTGTGACCGACTTATCGAATTTCACGTGATTTTTTAAATTATTTATCTATTATCTCAAACATTAGAAGACTGCGAAATCAATCATTTCTGAACATAATAAAATTTAATAGGAATACAAATTTATTTCTTCACACTAGATAACCAATGATATAAGCGATGATATAAAAACGATGACATAAAAATGTGATAAATAAATACAGTTGTATTGTTCGTGATTAGACAAGAATATTCTCTAAATTCTTGATGATATAACTGATGAGATAATAATATATTAATGCATTATTCATGATAAATCATCAAATGATCAAACCGAAAAAAGTTCTCTTTTTAAAATTACTTGGCAAGAAAAAATGAATGTGTGATTATGCATTATAACTGATGGAGGTAATAAAATATGAATGTAGTTCACAAGTAAGAATACTCTCTTCTTTCTAAATTGTAAAAATGAACAATAAAGATAGTTTTTTTACATCAGATATTTTATTACAAAGAATCATTTTGTTAATGACGAAATATTACGAATAAAAAATTAAATCACATTACTATGGTGCGTGAAGTCTATAACCACCAATCGCTGCGCCACGCGGCCAAATTTAAAAATAAGTCAAAATTTAAATTTTTTCAATTCGTCCAAAAATGCAATAATATTTTTTCATAATGTTACACGATTTTTAACCTTTTTTTGCAAGAATTACATAACGAAAAGTTCATATTCATATATATTTTCTGATTCATCATGATCTGATTCACAAACAGTCTTATCATCATCAATTTCTGGTTCTAAATCAAAGGGTTCTTCATATGGGAAAGTATTTTGATCATTTTGATTTTTTGATTTTTTGATTTTTTTGAATGTCTAACTGTTTTAAGATGAGAATTTCTTTTTTTTGGTGGCATATTTAATTAATAATTAAAGACAATATATGTCAATTCAATGGAATACTCGAGTAAAATAAAAAATCCTGACGCGTTAATTTTACTACACGGATTTTTTTAATTCTGACCAGAATTTTAAAAAAGAATCTGCGGATTTCATAATTTCCGCCCAATTTGAAGCGGCCAAATTCCTCGTGAACATAGTAAATACATACATATATAAACTCGATAAGTCGGTTTTGGCCTAACTCGGCCAAAATTTTCCGCCCCTTTTTTTTACTATTTAAAAAAATTCGA